ATATATATATATATAAATTTCAAAGGGAGCTGAATCCCAGGGAACAGGTGCAGAGAGGCAGAAGCAATGTGATTCCATGCGAGACCTTGGGTATTTTCCATGTTGGAGAGGAGACCTTTCCTCAAATTAATTGGCTTGCTTATCCCTGGGTGTGGAGGCTTTGGCAGTTAATCATGTCTCCTGGATTATTTCCTCAGGGACCAGGTGGCTTCCCGGAGTCTGCTGCTTCTGCCCGCCATTACATGTCACCTCACCAGGACAGACTCACGGACCCTCCAGTCTAGCGGTCACCCTGCTGTCCGCACATGCCCCCTGAGGCTTGCCTGGGAAGGCGGGGGCTGCAGGCTGGGGATAGAGGCGGCAGGAGGGGTCAGCTCTGTTGCATGGACTCTGGTGTCATGCCAACCTGGGTTCAAATGCCAGCTCCTTCTGGGACCACAGGCAAGTGACGTCACAAATCTGAGCCTCATCTTCCACCTCTGTCAAATGAGGGCTGGCTTAGCACAGGGCTGGGTCCCTAGGAAGTGCTGGACAAGTGGATGACATCATTATTGCTCTTTAAGGCTAACTTCTCTCATCTGGAAATCGGGGATAATAATTGCTATAATGTAGAGTTTCTATAGAAAATAAATGACGCAAAGCGCAGGGTAGGAAAGCCCGGTGCTGACGGGGGCCAGGGAGGGCGCTGTAAAACAAGTAGGAAATGCTGAGTGGAATTGATACACTGGAGAGATTGATACTTGCCTCTTGGCTCCCACAACTGGTGCTCAGCGAGAGAGCAGCTCAGTGATGCCAAATCTTTCACATTTTCAAGAAGCTGGAAATGTGAATTTTTTAAATGCAAAAAGCTCTCAATTTTAAAATGCTGGCAACTCACGTAAGAAAATGCAAGCGATGTATGGCCCCCAAAACTGCATCTGTGGGCTGAAGAGGCCTGCGTATCTCCAGTTTCAACAACAAACAATAAACACAGTTAACACTTAGGGCATGTATACTCCGTGTCAGCTCCGGTTTTAAGCTGTTTACGTGAATTATCCCACTTAATCATCTCAGTAACTCTGCGAGATGGGTACTATTATCATACCCGTTCCATAGATGAGAAAACGAAGGCACAGAGAGGTCCTCAGGAACAGTAGTTTTCAGTCACTTCCCCTCATCACTGGCCCAGCCCTGCACCTGTCCCTGCCCCTCTGCCTGCCCTCTCGGGATCTCTCCTATTCGGAGGATCTCGGGGCTCCTTCTGAGTTCTTAGCTCTGTGCGGAGGCATATGACCATCCCGTGAGAGGCACCAAGGTCCTTCACAAAGCCCACAGACCCAGGGGAAGGGAGATTCACCAGGTGTCCGCTGGCTGGTCCCTCTCCAAATCCTTTGGGGACTACGGGGCAAAAGGAGAAAAGTGTCCAGCCTGCTTCCCAGTCTTCTGGGTCAGCCAACCAGAGGAGCATCCGACTTGGGTGCTTCTGCCTCCAGCACTGGGCTAACCACTGTACGTGCGGTAGCTCGTTGAGTCCTCTCGCTGAGTGCCGTCTGGTGGCAATCAGTACCCACGTCATACAGGTGAACAAAATGAGGCTCAGAGAAGTAGTGACTTACCCAAGGTCCCCCAGCAGAGACAACAAGTCCTGGGCGGTCTGACTTTAAGACGGATGTGACTGGACAGGGCCAGGCTGCACGGCACCGAACCTCGCCCGGTCCTTGCGTTTTGGCCCTCCGACCCTCCTTCTGCTTGAAGGCAAGACTCTGACCCTGGACAGGCCGGCAGATGGGTCAGGAGAAACTGGAGGCTGAGATAGGGTGAGGCTTCCAGCTCAGGGAAGAGTCAGCTGAGCGGCTGGAAGGTGGGGGGCTGGACAGAGGCCTCTCCAGGAACTCTCCAGGCTCCCTTGCTACAGCAGGGCAGGGCTATACAAGAGGGAGGGGCTGACGGTGCCAGAGCCCCAGGGAGCTGGAATTCTTGGCCCCCAGCTCTGGTCTCTGCCCTTTGCGTCTGTGTCTCACACGCAGTCCCTCCCTCTGCGATGTGCCTGCCTCGCGCCAGCACCAAAGGGGGCTAAATCCTCGGAGAGGCTGTTTTCCTACGGCTTCTCCTTTCAAAGCTGCCCAAAGAACACGCTTCCCCAATGTTCTTCTTTACATTTTGCCTACATATTTTTACAGCCAAACAGTGCTTTCAAAGACTTCCTTTTTTCATCTCCTAATTAATTTTTATCTTCCCAGACGGAGGGAAGACAGCACAGGAGACGCTGTTTGTGATGTCTGCTGCTCCCCGACAACTCTTCAAATGCAATTTCCTTTGGAATGCCGGGGCGC